CCGCATTGTAGAGCCTGCCTGAGAGTATCAGTACGTCGGACAGCTGCAGCTTGCGCTGCACTGGAAGCTGAGGGTTCGGAAACACTGTTTGTCGCAGGGCCTGCAGCGACGACGACGTCGAGGAAACCCGATAGGCCAGCTCAGGGGCCACGTCCTGCTTGTCCGAGACCATACCCCCAAGACGTTTGTACGAGTGAACAGCCTCCAAAGACAGGCCTTGAGGAAACGTGCGGGTACCAGGTATACAAACCTTGCCCCTCCTCCTCGATCCAGAACTGCTTGCGGGCCGAAACCGAGCCAGGCCCTCTAAAGGTGACCAACAAGGCCGTCTTGGTGGGGCCCACATTGATCTTGAGGCCCACGGGGGTGAAGGAGTCCGCCACGATCGACACGAGCGTGCGAGTTCGTTGTATAATGGAGCCTGCTGGGCCCCAAGCATTGAAGAGACTGTCATCACTGTACTCAACGTCATTGGCATAGATCTTGGTATCACACTTGGCCAGGGGGTCCAGGGTTCTAGCCGAGGAAACATCGAGCTCCTGCTGGAGCCCAGCAGCCACTAAGAGGTCCCACGTCTTTCGAATACACCTGGACACGATGAACAGGAAGAGCTGGGCCGCCAACGCGTTGCCTGGCCCGGCCCCTGTAGTCGTGATAGCTACTTCTCCAGAGCCCTGTGTCGTGGCCCATGTCCCCGACAAGGTCTCCGCCAAAATGCGCCGAAGATGCACAGGAACCTCCAGTTCCTCAAGCAGCGGTGGCTGAGCAAGCTCCGCTGCAAGTAGGTCCACGCAAGATGGAGGCAAACCTGATGCATATAATAGTTGCGCAACTCGCTCATCAGAAATCTCCTCCTCTCCTTCGAATCGAATAAGAATCTCTCGAACAGCATGATGGAAAGCGGCCTCCAGGTCCACAAAGAGGGTAGACATCGACTCCGATCGAATGCGAGAAAGCTCCTGCATAAGCCGAACCGCGTGGACCGCAAAGTCAGTCCCACGTCCCTTGATGCCCCCACACTGTGATTCAGGTGCATACGTATCTAGAAAGGGCTGAAGGCGCCCTGCAACCAGAGCATGTGCGCGCTTACCCACCTGGGGCCCTATGGCCACTGACCTGCTAGAAGCACACACATTGGGCTGACCTCTACCCTTTGTACAAACCCGCCAGTCTCGAGCTTTTCCACTGTATAGGTTCACGAATACACATCATGTACTTCAGCACTAAGGGGAAGTAAAGACGGGCACATTGGGTAGAGCACATGCGAAGGATAGCACCAGGCACACAGTCCACACCATTCGCACAAGAGCTCGAGGTCTTCAGAAGTTGCTGTTCAAACATAGCAAGCGTCGGTAGCATCTCCGCCGCCGAGTCATCAATCTCAGCAAGCGGATAGCTAGCTTCTCCTGCAAACTGCAGCAGGCTGGCGGCAGGCACACGAAAACCAAGCTCCTGCTCCGCAAAGTGTTCCAGCCAGCGATCTCGCCCAGCAGTTGGCGTTAAAGCCGGCGTGCCGTTCTTCAATAGAATATGGGCAGATTGGCTGGCAGGTCGCTTCTTAGCTGATCCGACTCCCAGCGTCCGTAGCTGGCTAAAGGCTTGTCGAAATTCTTTCAGGAGGAACGAGCTGGCAATGTCGTTCGAAATCTGTTCCATCTTGGCAGCCTTGTCCAGATCACACGACCAGCTAATCAGGCGAGAGGTGAGGTAAGTCATGTTGCTGCTCATAGCCTTCATAGGCCATGCCACCCTCTAAGTAGATCAAGATATTTGGCTGTCGGTGGGAGCTGAATCCCAAGAATATCAGGGACACGAGCCAGCTCCTGACGTAGGGTAAACAGATTGTCCCAGTCAGGAGTCCGAGCAAGCCGACGACAATCAGGAAGGTGCCGTCGGGCCAGCACCTGAAGGACGTCAACCTGGGACCGAAAATCCTCCATGAGCCTCCAGAGCTGCTGTCGGTACCTCACCCCTCGGACACCATTAGATCCGCATCGGATCCGTAGCCTGCCCCAGACGCCCTCGTGCTCCTGGTAGCCCTCAGACGCCCAAGCATGAAAGGCCACTTGGAGGAGCACACGAGGGGCCTTTCGGGTCCAACTTCTATACAGAATTCTAAGATGTTTCCTTAGTTCGAGGAGCTCCAGAGACCTTTTCACTTACCCAGTCCTGACGACGAGGGTCTTCTGACATAAGATGCTCTCGAGCAAAGGCTGCTAGATGCGCGTCCACTCGTGCACAGTGCGCAGTGGCCGACTCCGACCAAGCTGGCTCTTGAAACGCCGCCACATGCTTGTCAAATGCTGCACGCACATCTGGATCTCGCAGCCGTTCAGCTTGCACACGCAGCTGCGGCCATCTATATTGATTGACATCAAGAGATCCTGACGGCACACCGACGGAGACAAAGGTAGGACTGTGATCCTCGACTGCATTAGCCAGATCCACTGTGTGGTCTACCTGTGCTTGCTTCACAGCACCAAGCCAGTCCTGGGGGATAAGGACGTAGTCGAGCTTTTTTTTGGTATTTCCATTCGTGTGCACATGCGTATGATGGGAGTCCCCAGGAGGCGCAGGAATGAAGGTGGACGGGGCGATGACCTGGAAGCGATGGCAAAATGCCCGCATGCAAGTCCCTGAGAAATTCTCATCGACCGCCTCGACATCCCCAATCTGGGGTGAAGTCTGGGACCCCACCTCTGCATTGGCATCTAGCAGAAACACTGGGTGCACACCAGGTATGAGAAAGCCTCTAACAATATTCTGAGCATCGAGCCACCATCGTTCTACCATGGCGACATCCTTACGCGCACAGTGCGGAGCATG